CGACTATAAAGACCGAGAGTTCTTGCGGCTGCTGGACATGTTCTATCAGTCATTCGCGCTGATCAGCTCCTTCTCCGGCCAGGTCTGGGAAAGGAAGGAGGCTGGGGGTGAGGGGAACAGTCAGGGTCGTGGGAAAGCATGGTCTGCTTTTGGGGAACAGAAGTGCACCTAGAGTTGGAAGAAAGGTAGATGCCACATGGAGGGCCAGGGATGTGAGATGTGGTGGGAGGGAGAGACGGTGAGCAAGGATCAGAAACAGAGTCCCAGAGAGACTAAGAAGAGGAGGGCTTGGGAGAAAGAAGAGAGGAAAAGAGAGAAGACAGAATAAGACAAAGGTTTGGGGGGAGAGAGAGATTCCCCCTAGAGGTGTGGGCCCCTGGATGTCTACTCCCCCCACCTGCTAGCTCAGTCCTTGGGGAGAACTCACTGCCCCTTCCTTCTTGCAGGTGTTTGAATTGTTCTCCCACATCCTGAAGTACTTTCCGGGCACACACAGGCAAGTCTACGAGAACCTGCAGGAGGTCCTCACCTTCGTCGGCCACAGTGTGGAGAAGCACCGAGCAACCCTGGACCCCAGCGCCCCCAGAGACTTCATCGACGCCTACCTGCTCCGCATGGACAGGGTGGGGGGTGGGGGGGGGAGGTGGGGGGACAGAGGGAGGTTGGAGGAAAGGAGTGTGGGGAGGAGGGGGTGGGAAGGACGGAGGAGGGGGAGGAGCTGGGGGGAGGAAGACCAGGGAAAGGAGGAAGGGACTGACAGGAGAGGGAGAGGGGAAGGGGCGCTGGGTGATGGGGACACACAGGGACCAAAAGAAACAGGAGAAAAGACTCTCAGAGGCAGGAAGAGACTGGGGACAAAAACCAGAAACAAGCCAAAGAGACGGAAAGAGAGAGACACCAAGCCAGGCAGAGCCATGAGGAGGAGGGAGAGAGAGAGACTCGGGCTTGGTCCTGCTGAGACCCAAGGACCCCCGGGAGGGGGGAGACCCAGAGACAGAGGGCGGGGCCTGGGGGGCAGGCGAGTCCCCAGTGGGCTCCAGGCCCTGACCTGCCCTCCCTCTCCACACCTGTGGGCTTAGGAGAAGTCCAACCTGCAGAGCGAGTTCCACCACAAGAACCTCGCCATTACCTTGCTGTCCCTCTTCTTTGCGGGCACCGAGACCACCAGCACCACTCTGCGCTATGGCTTCCTGCTCATGCTCAAGTACCCTCACGTGGCAGGTGGGCCCGGGAGAGCGCGTGGGGAGGGTCCTCTGGTCCCCTCCTGGCTGCAGAGGTGGGGCTAGGGTCCTCCATGGATGGGAGGCAACCTGACCTCTGTTTCAGGAGCTGGGCAGGCCCAGGGTGGTCTCCTGCTGAGTCCGTGCTGTGGGCCGGTGGTGAAGGTAGAATCTGTTGACTTGTTCTTCCAAGGTTTTCTGTCATCCTTCATTTATTTATCCAACCTTTTACTGATTCGCATACATTGAGACTCCCTGATTCTTTCATCAATGATTCATCCAAGGACATTCACATTCCTTTACTTATGAGTGAATTGACCTTCAGACAATGATAGTTGAGTGACTGTTGTCATTGATTCATGGCTCATTCATTGGCGTGGATCCACTCATCCTTCCCTGAACTAAGTCTCATTCCTTAATCATTCCATCAAATAGTCTTCAGTCCATCCTTCTTGCATTAAGTAAATTATTCATTATACATCCCTCATTTATTTATCATTTAATCTATGCATTCATTTTCTCCATTATTTTGCATACCTACACTAATTTATTCATCTATGTATTTCATAAATTAAGCATTCATGTGATTAGTGACTCATAGGGTTCATTTTTTTTGTCCAAGAATCATTTATTAATGGACTTATTCATTGATCCACCTATTGATAAGTTGAATACATCATCTATTCCTTGGTCTGCTCATTCATTCATTAATCTTCACATTCAGGCATTGATTTATTATTGATAGGATTGATGTAGGTGGCCATTTCTTTATCTAGTTTTTCATGGATTCACCACTGGTCTTTTCCACTGTTGTATTCCCGAGGATCTAACACAGTGCTTCATCTGTAAAGCACTCATGATAAATGTTAGATATTTTTTATTCATTTTAGAGGGATGGGTGTGACAGCTTTTCAGCTTGTAGTCCTTCATCTCAAATTGCATGTGAAATCATGGTGTGTGTGTGTGTGTATGTGTGTGTGTACGTGCATGCACACACAGGGTACCTGTGCACGGGGGAGATGACTTATCACATTCATTAGAATTCAAGCGGTGAGAGTTCTGGTTGAGTTTCCCTCTTCCCATCCCCCAGCTGATTGCTCTGAGGGTATCAATGATCTGAGTCTGCTGTAGAAATTTTGTGGCTCAGTAGTCCACAGAGAACAGTGTGGCTGCTGAAACAGAGCTCATTGGTCCCCTTTTCTGTGCAGAAAGAGTCAAAGAGGAGATTGCACAGGTGATTGGTTCACACAGGCCACCTGCCCTCGATGATCACTCCAAAATGCCATACACGGAGGCAGTCATCCACGAGATTCAGAGATTTGGAGATCTCCTCCCCATTGGTGTGCCCCACATAGTCACTAAAGACACTGTCTTCCGAGGGTACCTCATCCCCAAGGTGAGCCCAGCTGGGTTTGGGTCTGCTCTCTGTGGGCGTCCTTGATTCACTTAATCCCTAGTTTCAACCTCCTGTGCGTTTCTCGGCAGGTCCCCTGGTTTTCGTTTTTGTTTGTTTTATCACTTTACTTATTTTTCGTGGGGCCAGGAATGGCACTGTCTCTTGATCTTTCAACCTTTCCTCAGAACACTGAAGTGTACCCCATCCTGAGCTCTGCTCTCCACGACCCGCATTACTTTAAAGAACCAGACACCTTCAACCCTGACCACTTTCTGGATGCCAACGGGGCACTGAAGAAGAATGAAGCTTTTATCCCCTTCTCGGCAGGTAGGCTGGACCTGGGATCCCTTCAAAGACACCAGGGGCAGGTCCCATCTGCTCCTGGAGACAATGATAGGTCTTTGTATTGTGAGGGCTCAGCATATTCCAGTTGCTTTACCTGTACTGTCCCATTCCATCTTCACTACCACCCTGCGAGGAGACTTGAGAAGTGACATTATGTTCCAAGGCTTGCCTTGATAAACAGGACCTTGGGCAAATGTTGGAAAATCCCTAGACCTGAGCAAAGTCGTTTTCTTAAAAATCAACAACCAAAATGTATTTATTAGCATGAGTCCAAGCCCAGTGCTTACTAAAGGGCTAAGATAATGCAGCTACAAACTCAGAGAGGGTTCATCCCTAGTCTATTGCCTCCATATGACCCAGCTGTCCCACTCCTTGGTTTTCATCCAGAAGAACTAAAATCAGCATACTATAGCTATAAATGCATACCAATGTTTATAATGACAGAATTCACAATAGCTACGTCATGAAAACAGCCTTGGTGTCTGTCAGCAGATAAAGAGATAAAGAAAATGTGATATATTTGCAAGGCATGACTAATCCCAGCAGCTTGGGAGGCTGAGGCAGGAGGATTGCAAGTTCAAAGCTGGCTTCAGCAACTTATCAAAAAAAAAAAATAAAAAGGGCTGGGAATGTGGCTTAGTGGTTAAGCACCCCTATGTTCAATGTTCAATACCTGGTACCAAGAAAAAGAAAAAGAAAATGTGGTGTGTGTGTGTGTGTGTGTGTGTGTGTGTGTGTGTGTGTGTGTATTCATCCATACAGAAGAATGAAATAATATCATTTGCTGGTAAATGGATAAATGGATGGAATTGGAGAACATCATGCTATATGAAATAAGCCAGAAAGTCAAGTGTGAAATGTTTCTTTCATATGTGGAAACTACAGGGAAAAAAGGAATAAAAAGTGATCTCATGAAAACAGAAGTGAGACCAGTAGAGCAGAGGAAGGGGATCCAGGTGGAGGGTGAAGGAGAAGGAATAAAACTGACCAAGTTATGCTCGGTGCATGTACAAACTCACAAACCCCACTTTTATCTATAATTATAATACAACAATTAAAAAATAAATAAAGAAAAGTAATTAAGAGGAAGGTGGTCAGGGGGAGGGAGGATGGAGGTATAGAGAAGTCCTGGGTTCCAAGATCGTCATGTGCACTTATAAATATGTCACAATGAATCTATGATGTCTAATTATTATGCATCAATAAAAGCGTAAAAAAAATCCGATCATGTACAGACAGAATTCCTGCTCCAGGAAACTTATAGTCCACAGTTCATTTTCATCAAGTTGTTCCCAAATAATGATCTTCTTAAATTATTAAATGCCTGCCGCTTAGAACCGCCTGGCACAAAGTCAGTTACTTGGCGTTATTTGGGAGCACAAAGTAGGAAATACTAACTTTGGTGGGTAGGTGAGGAAAAGCTCACCTGAGAAACTGGTTTCCAGGCAGAGGCCTGGTGGGCGTGTTGATCAGCTATGGGAAAGAAGGTTCCAGGCGGAGGCAACAGCAGAGTAGAGTTAGGTGGCCCATTAGAGCAACTGTAAGGAGCCCAACTATAGATTAGGAAAGGGATTGTTGAGTGTGAGGAACTCAGCCAGGAAGGGCGTTGAGGGCTGGAGAGGAGTTTGGATTGCTCTTTGAACACTGGGGCTGGGGAAAGTTTTTTTTTTTTTTTTTTTTTTTTTTGTATTTGATATGGGTTTTTGTGTGTGTGTGTGTGTGTGTGTGTGTGTGTGTGTGTGTTTGTGTGTGTGTGTGTGCGCGCGCGCGTGTGCTAGGGATGGAACTCTGGAATGTTTAACCATATTCCAGCCCTTTTTATTTATTTTTAAAATTTAGAGACAGGGTCTCACTAAATTGCTGAGGGCCTTGCTGAGTAGCCAAGGCTGGCATTGAATTTATAATCCTGCTTCAGGCTCCCCATCCTCTGGGATTACAGGCATGGGCCTACTTACACGGCTTGGGGAAAGTGTTGGACACACTTGGCCCTGTTCCCACTCTATACTCTGGTTTGGTAAAAGAAAATTTCAGACAAAGTAAATTTTGTAGAGTTTATTTGAGCAAAATAACAATTCATGAATTGGACCACATCCTGCAGTGGTGAAGCTTTAGAGAGCTCCACCCAGATGCATGGGCAGGTAGCAATAGACAGAAAAGGAACCAAATAGCAGAAACAGCTCGGTTGGTCCAGAGGTTGGTCCACGTGGCCGCCTTTGGCATGTCTGAGCAGTTGGTAGCTTGTAATTGGCTGAAGCGCAGCGCTGGGATTGGCTGAGGCTTGGTTACTTGTTCCAGGAATGTGGTCTCTGTTTGGTTGCCCTTTGATTAATATTAAGTTACTGTGCAGTTTACTCAGTGGGGTTTAGGCCAGATTTAACTTGTAAGCCCCACCCAAGGAAACCCCAACATCCAGGTTCCTCATGTTTTGGGAGGAAGGAAGGCCCCAGAAACAAGATCCTATTTATGTGTTTCATCAGTGACTTCAGTGGCCCAGGGCTCTGGCTTAGCTCCCGGCTCTGTGGAATGTGGTCCTCAGGGTCCGTTCTGTCTTCATTGAGAGCAGGGAACACGTGGGGTGGTGGGTGAAGGTCAGCTCTCCATCCAATAGCTCCGTCCTAAGTTTAGGGAGAGGCAGAGACTTAGAGAAGTAAAGACTGAAACAGAGCTAAGCAACAGAGAAGTGATGGGGACTAGACAGAGAGAGGGACAGAGGGAGATCATGGCGGAGAAGACAGTCTGTTAGAGACAGAGAGTGAACTTGAGACCACAGAGGAAGGAGAGAGAGAGAATAGATAGACAGGAATGAAGAAGAAAATTTAAAATGGATGAAACAAACAAACAAAAAACAAAACAAAACTTCTTAGGTATAGACCAAGACAAGGCAGAGTGCCCCAAGCAGAAAAAAGAACAAAGTGAACCAATAGAGTGTTGGAATAAAGGAGCCAAAGAAGGGGGAGGGTGTGCTGAGAGAAGATAACAGGCCTTAGGCTCTTGGAAAGATCTGGATCCCCAGCCAGTTCCAGGAGAAGAACCCTCCCAGAGACCTGCCCTGAGTACTTCCAAGGTCCCATCTCCTGACATCTGGAAATGCCAAAAGAACACAGACCCCTTGCCAGATGCATCCAAGCAGGCACAACTTTGCAGCAGCCTGAAAAGCACAGGGGATGCCTGGAATCTGGTCCTCCACTGGGCCTTCCCAGGGTGGTCAGTTTGCAGTTGAGGAAGCACTGAAGCACTTGGAGGCACTCTGTGTCCCTGCCTGACTTTTCAGGCTGTCTCTGTCCTCCTTCTTCTCTAAGCCTGTGGTCTGTAAACTCAAACCCCTCTGAGTATCCATCTGAGTGAAGCCATAGAAACCCTGCTCATGGGCATTGGTCCCATTCACAACTTTATGAATAATTTTTTTTGAGGGAATTCTTGGAGCTGGTGGATTTCAGGTTAAAACTAGAAGAAAACCCAGAGACAGACATAACACAGAGTGCTAGAAACACACACACACACACACACACACACACATGCTTAGTGGCTCTTAGATCCAAACAGCAATAACTACACCTGTAGGATTCCTAATGCAAGCCAGGTGTTATTCTAGGAGTTTCTACAAATGACAACTTTGCCTTTAGTCATCCTGCCAGTGCCTGATAAGTACTATTCTCCTTGTGAAAATGAAGAACGTTAAAAATGTCAAGTCAGAAATATGCACTCACATACCTATACACACTGACCCACCCAAACACAAGTGGGTCCTTATCTCCTACGAGTCCACTGAACCCTTTGAAAATCAAACAATAGCTATAAACTCTCTCCTATAACAATCAACTTGAAGACCCAACAGGTTAAAGATCAAGCCTGTGACAATCTGTAGCAGTGCACAGGTGCCTGGGCTTTGGGGTATGGCAGGCAAAGCATGTGCCCTGGCCCTGAGCCCACACGGTGATCCTCTGTGCCCACAGGGAAGCGCATCTGTCTTGGTGAAGGCATCGCTCGCAACGAACTGTTCCTCTTCTTCACCACCGTCCTCCAGAACTTCTCTGTGGCCAGCCCCGTGGCTCCCCAGGACATCGACCTCACTCCCCGGGAGAGTGGTGTGGGCAGAGTGCCCCCAACCTACCAGATCCGCTTCCTGCCCCACTGAATGGGCTGAGGGAAAAGGGCCAAAGGATCCAGGGTCATTGTTTCTACCCCTGTAGAGAATGACCGAGATGGCCTCCACATTTTCCTGTGTCTGAGAGACCTGCTGTGGACCTGCATCTTCTCTGTCCTTGTCTGCATCAACATGGGAAGGTCCTTTGTGTAGTCCTACTTCCTTCATCATGCTGTAGCTCTTCCCAGGCTCTCAGGTGTACTCCTTTCCCCTATTCATAGAATTTCAAAAGTCAGAACCAACCTTGAATGTAATCAAGCCCCTTTATAGGTGTATATATAGTAACTTGGGACAAAAGAGGAAACTTGGCAGTAGGTGCTTCTGCAGTTCTGCCTCCCAGGACACAACTTGTGCTGATTAATTTCTCCCTTGTTCAGAATAAATACTGTCCCATTTATCCACTCCTTGTGCGCCATCATCTGTGCTGAAGGGCTTCACATATGACCTCTCTCTCTCTTTCTCCCCTCTCTTTCTTGTTTTGGTAACAGGGAATTAAATTCAGGGACATTTAACCCAGCCCCCTAGAGTCAGGGTTGCACTAAGTTGCTCAGGGCCTCGCTAAGTGGCAGAGACTGGCTTTGAACTTGCAATCCTCCTGTGCCACTTGGATTACTGGCTTTCCAACCCCAAACCTGGAAGCCCTCTCTTAAGGCCCTTCCCCAATAGCCCCCTGTGGTGGGTGTGGTGACCATGCCCATTTTACAGATCAGTAACTGAGGACAGGCGAGATCCTCTTCACATGAGGTCCCAGAGCTAGCGGGTGGAGGAACCAGGCTGCACTCTGGCTCTAGAACCCAAACCTCCCCACAGAGCCTTCCTCCATATACATGTACATACATACATACATACATATACACGTATACCTGTATATATTTACATTGAGATAAATTAACACAACACAAAATCGGCCATTTGGAGTGTAGAATTTAGTTCCTTCCCAATGGTGAACAAGTACCACCATCTCGTTCCCGATGCTCACGTCGCTCCTCCCCAAACCCCTGCACCTACTAAACAGCCATCCTCAGTCCCACTGGCCCAGGTCCTGCAAACGGCAATCTCGTTTCTGTCGAGCCGTCCATCTCACATAACGGAATCGTCCGACGTGTGGTCGCGTGTGTCGGGTTCTTTTTCTTCACACAGCGCAGTCTTGCCCCCGTGGTCCTCCCCTGCAGTTCCTGGCTGCCTGTCCCTGCAGCTTCTCTCCGGGGAGGGGCCTCCTCAGCCCACGTGTCCTGAAGCAGCACGATTCCACGGTGGCACCTTGGATCCCTGGATATTTATTTGAAATTTTCTGAAATCAAACCAATATCCAAAGCCTCCCACGTCAGGAGGGGACCCCACCATTTTGCCCATGGCTTATTGATGGTCATGTCCCCAGGCACTTTTTCAGAGGGACTGCCAGCTCTGTGAAGGGACAGCCTGCCGTCTCCTCCACTGCTGCCCTCGGAGCACCCAAGCAGAGTGTGGCCTCTGACGGGCCTTCAAAATACCTGGTGGGGTGTGCGTGGAGAAAAGACAACATCAGCCACCCTCCACCCACCCCAAACCCAACCAGACCTCTGCCACCAGACCATGTCACCTCTGAGGGTCACTGTCTTTTAATACCCAGAATAACTTCCTGCCACCAAAGGGCCCCATTCTGCCTGCCAGGTCTCTTCACCTCTCATGCTGGATGCCATCCCCTGACGAAAATGGCTGAGAGCCACTTGGCAATGGAGCCACTTGAAACCAGCCTGGACACATCCCAATCATTGGCATGTCCTTGAGGGACATGTGACACATTCCAGGAGCTGTCTCCCTGCAGCTAGTGGCCAATGGGAAGCTGGCTCTGGGACTAAACATGTGGCCTGTGCAGTGCCTGCCACCCTCAGGCTCCCTGAAGAGTTGCTAGGAGCTCTGCCAAGGTAGGGTCCTGGCACACCCTCCTCCAACAACCACAGCGACGGTGAGGAGGGGGGTGGGAGGAGGAGGAGCAGCTCAAGGCAGCGAGGCGGCTGGAGGTCCAACTTGGGGTGAAAGTCTCACAGCAGCTTGGGAATTCTTTTCATTCAGCAGAGATCTGGCCCAGCATGCCCTGTAGAGAGCGTCTGGAGTTCTGGGGAGAAGCAGGGAGGAGGATGGCTTGGAGGGTATCAGACTTGAGGCTTTGAGTTTGGTCCTGCAGTGGGGGAGGAGAGGCTGGGTGTGGGGAGTGGTGCTATTCGTATTGCACAGTCCTTGGCAAAGCTGAGACAGGATGATTGGGGAAGGGCGCGAGTGAGGCTTGGACAAAGCACGAAGTTCAAGGGTTGGTTCTTCCCTGATGAGGCTACAGCCAGCGGGGCTCAGGATCCCCTGGAAGGTGTCATTCAGGTGGGAGTGGGGAAGACGCTTCTCTTGTGCTCGATAGTGAGGTCTGGACCCTGTCTCCAGAGCTGGGGGAGAAATATGGGAACATCTTCACAGGGCACTGGGACCCCATCCTGCCTTCAGCCTGTGTGGATACGAGGTCATGCATGAGGCTCTAGTGGGTCAAGCTGAGGCTTTCTCCAGCCGAGGGCTCATTGCCATCACTGACTCCATATTCTAGGAACTGGTGTTGGGGGACAGGTTGGGGACTGGGGGGACATGGGGGAGTATGAGTCCTCCCAAACTCCCTCTGTGCCCCACCAATCAGGAGTGAGCTTTGTCAATGGAAAGCCTTGGCAAGTCCTCCAGTGGTTCTGTCTGATCACCATGGAGGACTTTGGGAGGGGGAAGTGGAGTTTTGAGGAGTGAATCAAGGAGGAGGCTGAGAGTTTGGTGGAGGAGCTGTGGACACCTCAGAATGAGCCCCGTGGGGGACTCAAGATGGGGACATAGGGAGGAAGAAATAACTGATAAGAGACAGGGACAGGGAGATGCAGACAGATTCAGGGAGAGAGGGAGCCAGAGACACAGGGAAGGGAAAGGGAATGAGAAACACGGAGACAGAGGAGTCAGGGAGGGAGGATAAGGGTGGGGAGAGACAATGCAGGGACAGGCAGACCTCCACCATGGCCCTCTCATCCCCAGGGACCTATCAGGACCCCACCCTCCTCTTTCACTGAATCAAGGCCAACCTCATCTGTGCCATTGTCTTTGGTGAACACTTTAGTTACCAGGACCCCAAATTCCTACATCTGTTGAGTTTACTGAAGGAAACATTCACCATCCTCAGCTCCTTCTATATCCATGTGAGGTCAAAGATTCCAGGATGGGCCAGGAATCTGGGTTGTGGTTCCTAGGATGGGACCTGGTGTTCCCTGTCTGGAGCTCAGGAGCAGGAAGGCACGGTGGTTCTTGAAAGAACAATCAAGGCTTGCCTTTGGAGAAAATGCCCATTTATTGAGAAACAGCTCTGCATATTTATAGAGCCAGGAGTGGTCTGAGAGTTGGCAGGGGATGCTTTTTGATTGGTGGGTAAAGATCATGTGAGTCAGCAGGGCCAGTCTGATTGGTGGGTAAGGATCATGTGAGCCAGCAGGGCTCTCCATTGGATGGCTCTTCTTGGGGGATGGGGAAGTTAGTCTTTGGAGTGGGGGGGACTCCCAACAGTTCTGATCCTGGAATGGAGGCAGTTATTTTAATCTCTCCCTGCTTCTGACTTCTGAGTAACAGGCCCATAAGGCCCCTGCCAGTATCTGAGGTGTCTTTTTTTTTTTTTTTTAACTGAACTTTGTTTTATTTTTATATACATTTTGTTTTTCCCATAAATAATATATCTACATAGCTTTCAGTAATACTTGAGCTGAATACATGCTTTGACACTGCCCATCTTTTTAATGGAGTTCATGGCTACATTGATTAAATGAATTCCTTTTTGAACAAATAACAAGTAGAAAGACAAGAACAATTTAATATTAATAAGAAGCTCAAATTACATTTGGTTAAACTATGTACAATACAATACAAATTTGTTACCCTACGTGTAGTAAAGATAAGACAGGCCTTTCCCTTCTTATATAAGGATTGTAACTTGTTTTAAGTGGCCTTAGTACATCTTAACTTTGCAAATATCCAATGATTGGCAATGAAATCTGTAATCCCAATGTCTTCCCACATGTAAATTCCAAATGTTTGCTCATCTTTACTGAAAACAGACTCCCTCCACAGCGGGGGGGAGGAGTGGAAGAGTCATTTTGTATCACCTTGAATGTGCCTACTGTATGCTGGAAAAAAGTGGCTACCCTTTGTGTTCATAAAATAAAGAATACAGAGCTCTAAAGACACTTTTTTTTGCATTTTAATAAGCATATGCAGTAGTGTTTACCAGTTTAGCTACCTGAAGCTCAGGAATGCCTCAGTGGGGATTTTTAATTAGTATAACTGAAGACTTTCAAAGAGATTTCCAGAGCAGTGAGTGTTAGAAACATTTTCTGCTTAGTTTGTCCTTTTGATGATAGATTATTTTGAATCATTATGAGTCAAGGAAAGTCCTCTTGATAAGTGGTAGATGAATGTGTGTTTGTGTGTCTTAAGAGTGTGTCCTCAAGTGTGACTTCAAAATCTATGGTGACAATGGAGTATTACTCAGCCATAAAGAGGAAAGACTTTATGGCATTTACTAGTAAATGGATGGAACTGGAGACTATCATGCTAAGCAAAATGAACCAGTCCCTGAAGGTTGAAGGTTGAAAGTGTTCTCTGATATGTGGAAGCTAATTCAAAATACAGGGGGGATTATAAAAAGAATAGAAGAATAATCAGTGGGGTAGACAAAGGGGAATGAAGGGAAGGGAGGAGGCGTGGAAAGGGAAGGACAGTCGAAGGAATCTGACCTGAGTTTCCTGTATATGTACACACAGTGAATCTCACCATTATGCGCATCCATAAGACACTAAATAAAAAAAAACTTTAATAGCAAAAGATCAGAAGTGTAGAGGGAAGAGAACCCTTTCCCTCTAGAGGGCGTAAAGAGGAGGGAAAGGGGAAGTACTGGGGGCTGAATTAGAACAAGTTATATTCCATGCTTTCATAAATTTGTCAACATGAAAACTAATGTTATGTATTAGAACCAATAAATATAAAAAGAACCAATAAAAATAAATTTAAAAAACCTGTGGTGACTTACAACCACAC